TTTTTTTTTAAAAAGAGATAGTTTAACTCCTGTATTTGCCATTGAAGTCTTCGGAGTACAACTACCGGTATTTGTGAAAATAAAGGAATTCTTAGAAAATAATCTAGGTTTTGATTCATATTCCTTCTATAAACTAAAAAACTCCTCAACCATAGCAGTAGCTGAAGTAAAGGCTAGAAATGCTAATAGCAAAAGTAGCGTAACACTTATTATAAAAAACATTAATGTTTTAAATAATTATTTGGTACCTTTTTTTGCGGATATGGAATTTTTAACTAAGAAAGGTATAGATTTTAAGGATTTTAAAATAATTTGTAAAGCTATATACGATGGGGCACACAGAAAACAAGATATAAGAGCCTTAATATTAAAATTATCTAATACTATGAATAATTTTAGATTGTCAACTTATAAAGGTATAGCTGTAGCTTTAACTCAAGAAGAAATAGAAAAACTATTAAATGCAGGATCTACAGTTGAACGTCTTTTAGATGGAAGAGTTATAGATCGTGACACTAAAAAAGTACTACCAAGACAAGTTTCTTGTATATATCAAATATGTGAACAAGATGGTGCGGTTTTATTGGCGAATTCTTTAACCGAAGCTGCTGCAATTGTAGGGTTATACCCTGACACTTTAAGTAAATACTTAGATAGTGAACAATTAAATGGGGAGTTCATAGAAATTAAAAATCATAAAATTAAAAGAGTATGTGTTTTTTCTTAGATGTACTCCTAACTTCTTAATCTAGCCCCTTTTGTAATTATTTATCTTTTGTAATTCTTTATCTTTATTTTTCTTTTTAGTCTCCTCAAAACAATATGACTAGCTGTCAATTAAAGTTGCATACTTAATGAGCGACGGTGGACTATTGTAAGGATATACACAAATATACATCTAGCAGCCTTTATAATAGGGATAAGGAATAAACATACAGCCGTTGTATGAATATAATGGCTGTCTACCTATCATAGTTGAACTAATATAAGGATATATTTTTATATTAACGAAGGAATATGAATAGCCGTGTAACTAAATTAGTCAGGCTAGGTAGAATTAATAGGAATTGAGTAAGATTATTATCGAACAATTCTATACTTATATAAATGGGTGAAAACGGTTAATAAGGATATACTTAAAGACCGTCGGCAGTAATAAATGTCGCTACAGACTGGTTCGCCGGGGTTAGGCTGAAATGTCTGTCCGAATGTACAGTCGGACCTTAGAACGAGTGCGAGATCGTAGGGAGGAAATATTTATCATAAAAAACACTACGCACAGTGGATAGCCTTACCACAAAGGTAATAAACTCCTAAGTATCAAAAATACTCTTAATGTCTATTCCTCTGTATAGAGGTGACATTAAGGCCAGGTTAACTAAGGTTGTTCTATGCTTATTCCTGTTTTAATAGTTTCTTCTTTGGTGCATATCTATTCTATAGGATATATGAGTGAGGATCCTCGAGGTTACGTTGAGGGAAAACGTTTCTGTGGGGATAAACTGTCAAATTCCGGGGAACTCCTAAAGCTTAAGGTACCAAACTGTAGTTGAAAAATTATATGTGGCTGAAGTAATTACTCAGATAAGGTAACAACCCTTAAGATTTGTGAAAACAAAATGGACAATCGCGGATCTAAATCAACAATATTAAACAATAAGGTTGTAAAAGAGCAAAGAGTAGACGGCAGTTGATCGGTTAAGTCAAGTTTAACTGATTTAAGGTGTATTCTAAATAGTTTTGAAATAAACAGTGGTATAAACCACGGCTTCCATCATCAAATATGTTGAAGCTCACGTATTAAAATCCCGTCTAAGCAATTCTGTCTTGAACCTGTCTCCCCTATGCCTACTTTTTTGGGACATTTATATAAATGTCCCAAAGTTAGAGGTTACGTATATTTAAGCCCATTAGGGGGCAAGTTAAAAGGTAAAGTAAATTATTCTACATCTACTTCGGTAAATCCTGGGGTTTGGTCTGGTTTAATAGATGGAGAAGGTTCTTTTTCTATATTCTTAGTTAAAGACGCAAAAAGAAAATTGGGTTGACGTGTTGAACCAAAATTTCAACTAGGTTTACACAGAAAAGATTATGATGTATTATCTCAGTTACAGCTTTTATTGGGTGGTGCTGGTGCCATCTATATAGTTCGGAAAGGAGAGTTTGTTAATTACATGATTAGCTCAATGAAAGATTTAAATAAACTTATTCTTCTTTTAGAAAAATATCCATTGTTAACTCAAAAATCCGTAGATTTCTTTTTTTTTAAACAGATAATAGATTTAATTAATAATAAAGCTCATCTTACTGTTGAAGGTTTAAATCAAATAGTTAATCTAAAAGCATCTATGAATTTAGGTTTATCCGATAAATTAAAATTAGAGTTTCCTGGATATAGAGTAATGGATAGATCAATCATTTATTGTGACAATCCAATTATAAACTCTTCTTGGCTTTCAGGTTTTGTTAGTGCTGAAGGAAACTTCGACGTTCGTACACCTAAAACAAATAATAAAACAGGTTATAGAGTTCAGTTAAGATTTAGAATAACCCAACACATTAGAGATATTAAATTGATGAAAAAAATAGTTGACTATTTAGGTGGAGGTAAGATATATAAATATACTAACTCCGCTGTTCATTTAAGTATAGTAGATTTTTCCTTAATTACCGAGAGAATCATTCCTCTTTTTAAGGAAAATCCTTTAGTTGGTGTTAAATCTAAAGATTATCATGACTGATGTAAAATTCATGAACTAATGGTTAATAATTCGCACCTAACGGTTGAAGGTATGAATTCTATACGAGAAATTAAATTAGGTATGAATAGCGGTAGAAGTTTGAGAGAGAGTAATGAAGTAATCTTAGCTGGGTATAATACACCGGCTTCGCAGACGCTAAATAAATTTAAAGAATAAATATCTATTCTTTTAACTTATAATTTAACTTTAGTTTTTAGAAGAGATTTTCTTCCCAGACCATTCCATAAGCAACCTGAGTTAGACAAATTGCATGACAAATTTAATAAGAGGCACAATCAAAGATTCTTTAGCTATTTAAGCTTGTTCACATTTATGATGGTTATATTAGTTACAGCTAATAACTATTTATTAATGTTTGTTGGTTGAGAGGGTAGCCAAATAATATGCCCTAAATGGTTAATTGAATCAGACAATAGTATTTTAAATTTTATGCTTATACATACTTGCAATCAAAAAAGATTTTTCTTTTCAAAAAAGTTAACTTCTTTTCAACGAATTGGCCCGCATAATATAAATGTAATATCTTTAATCGTAGGATCTTTATTAAACAATTCATACATTGAAAAAAGAGGACACGGCTTTAGAATTATATTTATAAAACATAATGATAATGTGGAATATTTAATGTGATTTCATTCAGTGTTATTTAATGCTGGGTATTGTAACAAAGAAAAGCCTAAGTTAGATAAGTTTATAGGTAAACACAATAAAGTGTTTTTTATTTATAATTTCAAAAGTTATAGCTTTTCTAGCTTTAATTGATTATATGATATGTTTTATAGAGATAACGTGAAAATTATACCACATAATTTAGATGAATATCTTACACCCTTAGCCTTGTCTACTCTATTCCTGTCAGCTGGAAGACCAGAAGAAAGGGGAGTAAAGCTACCTAAATCATGCGTTTTAGTAGAAGATCTCAAAGATCTATCACTCGTTTTGAAAAAAAAATATAACATAGATACAATTATTAATAATAGTAACCTTAATCACGGTAAGTATTCTAGTATTTCATTACATATTAAGAATAGTTCTGTTTCTACTTTTTCTAAAATAATAAAGCCATATTTGTTACATTCACAATACCACTTATTAAAGAGGCCTATCCTAAAATTAACTTTTCCTGGTAGTAATGGTATTCATAATCATTCTTATATTCCTAAAAGAGATTTTTCAAATAAGAAAGATCTTTCCGATATAAAATATACCCTTAATTATAAAAGAGAGTATGTCTTGAGCTTAGAGCAAAAAGAAGCTCTATTTCCTACACGTAATGAAAATTTACTTAACCCCTTTTTTGTATCGGGTTTCTGTGATGCTGAAGGTTGCTTTACTATTCCCCTTATTTTTTTTTT